TCTCTTTAGGAGTGACCAGGATGGACAGGATTAGGAATGAGCACATCAGAGGGACAGCTCAGGTCGGCTGTTTTGGGGACAAGGTCAGAGAGGCCAGATTGAGATGGTTTGGACATGTGCAGAGGAGGGATAGTGGTTATATTGGTAGAAGGATGTTGGAGATGGAGCTGCCAGGCAAGAGGTCAAGAGGAAGGCCAAAGAGGAGATTTATGGATGTGCTAAAAGAGGACATGGAAGTTAATTGGGGTGAGAGTAGAGGATGCTGAGGATAGAGTTAGGTGGAAACAGATGATTTGCTGTGGCGACCCCTAACGGGAACAGCCAAAAGAAGAAGAAGAAGTTGACCAGTTTTGTTACTTTATAGTTTAGGTTAGCCTTAAAGTCTATAACATGCATTCACCCAATGTCAAATTGTTAATCCACAGATAGTGCACTACTTCATGCTGTCAGATTTTTAAAAGACAGGGAGAAACTCAGGATGAAACAATGCAGAAAGAAACAAATAATGTGCAAATGATTTGAGATTTAAACAAACAGAGGGAGGAGGCACAGAAACTGACCAGCCCAGGAGTCAGCTAACACTGAGATGGGTCAGGCTACAAACTGTGGAAAGGCAGAAAAACTGTAAAGTTCTTTCTTATTTAATATTTTAATTGGTGTCTCAAGTTTGGCAAATTATTTGGTGGTGATTCAAATGTATTCAAACTATAATAATGCATTCATAAATCATGGCACATTTCTCTACTTTATATGCTAATACAGTAGCTGTTTTCAACAGTGAAAAGTATTGGTTCGAAATCTGACTTTATTGTATCGCTCATCACCTAATATGAGGCCAACAGCCACTAATAGCAGCAGATTTTTACTGACAGTAGTGATGGGCAAATGATACCGAGGCTTTGGAGCTTGTGTCACTCATCCTGAAGCGGAGTGATTTGAAACACTGTGTCGGACCTTGTATCAAAACACCAGTGTCACGTGACCAATGACGTTCGAAGCTTCGAAGCTTCGAACGTCATCGCTGTTTCGCTTCGCGCTTCATTCCTTCAAAATGTTTCTAATCTTTTCATTGGCTC